GCAGGGGAGCCTCTGTCGGGGGGAAGTGGGAGGAGTGAGGAGTAGCCCGGAGGCGACCCTCGACACAGGGGACACAGGAAGGTCCTGGCCCGGAGGGGAGAGGAGGGAGAGACTGGGGAAGACCAGAGACAAGGACACGGGAAGCCATGCTCCGAAGACGGGGCAAGGAGGGGTGGCCAAGACGGTGGTGCCACAGGAGAGTCTCGTGAGACAGGAGGCGACAAGAACAGGGGGCAGACTCAGGACCTGACCGGGACGCAGCAGCAAGCACCTGACCCGACGCAGCCACCTGACTAGACGCAGGGACAGGAGGAGACTCAACGGTCAGGGTGTAGAGACTCGACCCCGGCCGACGCGAGAACGTGGCCAGGTGTCGGCCTGTGCGTGCCTCCGTGCAGTGGGTCACCCGCTGACTCGCAGGAGTGAACTGGTGAACTCCCACATCCTGCAGGTCCGCTCCACTCACCAAGTTCGTAGAGAACGAGGGAAGGTACAGACCCGACAGGGTGCCCGAAGGGGCAGCCGGACACGGGAGGACAGTGGAGAAGTGAGACAGGACAGGACCCCCAGAGGGGTCAGCAAGGGAGACCGCAACCGGCCGGCCGAGCGGCGTAAGGGTAGTGCGGTCTCGAAAGAAGGAGCGAGAAGCTCCGGAGTCAAGTGTGAAAGTGAGGGAGGACGAGGACGACGCAGTACCTGAGAGCGCAGTCTCACCAGTACCTGAGAGCACAGACGCACTGGCACCTAGAGCAGCAGCCTCACAAGCACCTAGCGCAGCAGTACCAATGCCCGGGTCGGGCTGGAAACAACGGTAACCCTCATTCTCCTCACTATAATCCACAACATACATAGCAGCAAGGATAGCATCAAAATCAAGATCAAAGATCGCTACACCAGCCCTGAGAAGCTCATCCCAGCGAGGGATCTCACTAGCCCCAGGGAACTGCTGGCGCCAAGCGTCCATCAGGCGGCCAAAGCAGCGCTGGGTGGCGTGGGCACCCCCACACTGCTCACCCGCGCGGTCGCCGGAACGAAGAACGTAGGTGCAGGGACCAGTACCCCCACCCCTCTGACGCCCAGCGTACCACTCACGAAGCTGCTGAGGCGGAGGGATGTCCCGCGAGCGCTGCTGCTGCTGCCGCTGCGAGCGCTGGCCACCACCACCGCCGCTACGCTGCTGGGTACCACCTCGACCAGCTCCACCTCCTCCACCACCACCGCCTCCTCCGCTGCCGCCTCCACCGCCTCCACCTCCGCCGCCTCCACCACCGCCGCTGCCTCCACCACCACCGCTGGCACCACCACCACCGTCTCCGCCACTGCTGCCACCACCACCACCACCCCCGCCACTAGTCCCGCCGCCACCCCCACTCCCTCCGCCGCCACCGCCGCCACCGCCACCGCCCCCTCCAGCTCCACCCGCGCCCTTGCCCCCCTTGCCCTTGCTGGAGCGACGTCTCCCACTAGGGGCAGACGCCGCGCCGACCAACTCAAGACCAAGCAGGTCGGCAGCAGCAGCAGAGGCAACAGAGGGCAGCAAGGGGGAAGGAGAGCACCCCTCAAAGATGGGGGTGCGAGGGTCACCACGAGAAGCACCTACAGCGACTATGCTCTTCTCCGCTGCGAGGAGGGCCTTCTCGAGGAGGTCGACGGTGAGGGTGGTGGGACAGACTGCGAGAAAGTGGTCCCTGACGACGCGAAGGGAGTCAGGGAGGCGCGCGACTACGTAGTAGAGAGCGATGTACATGGGGGGGGGGGTTCTTAGCGCAGAACTCAGCAGGAAGGGCGGCGCGGTAGCGAGTGTCACTAGTGCGGAGGTGCGTAATGAGGTCAGCGACAGTGGGAAAGGCAGAGAGGTCAGGAAAGAGGTAGGGAAGCATGAGACGGCTCAGTGCAGCAGTGGCAGGGGAGGAGTAGCGCGCAACTACAGCGTCGTACAAGGTCTGAGCACTCTTGTACTGACTAAAGTGCGCACGCTCAGAGGTAGGGAGGTGGCGACGCACAGCAAGACGTGCAGCAGCATCGCGGGTGGCCCACTTAGAGCGGACAGCGGGATCAGCATCAGCAGCAGGAGCAGGAGAGGCGCCAGAGGTGAGGTCAAAGAGAGAAAGGTCGTCAGCCCTGTCGCACTGTAAGAACAGCTGCAGGTCGTCTAACCAGACCTCAAAGTCAATGGCGCGACCCTCAGCGTCAAAAGCTAGGACACTAGGGGTAGCCATGGCGACGACAGCGACGCAGTGCAAGCAGTAGGGAAAGAGCTCGCAGTGTCTGTGGGACTGTGCTCACCAGGGAGGGCAGGTCGTGCAGCTACGCAGAAAGGCGGCTCAGCGACCGGGCGGCTCGGGTGCACAGCGGCTGGGCTCCCGGGCGGCTCAGCGGCTGGGCGGCTCGGGCGCAGGGCGGCTCGGCTCCTGGGCGGCTCAGCGGGTGGGCGGCTCGGGTGCAGGGCGGCTCGGCTCCCGGGCGGCTCGGCGGCAGGGCGGCTCGGGTCCCGGGCGGCTCGGCTGCTGGGGCGGCTCAGCCGGGAGATGCAGGGGCGGGGCCGTCAGGTGCAGCGGCAGGTCGACCGGTGCAGTGGCGGGCCGGCAGGTGCAGCGGCGGGCCGGCAGGTGCAGCGGCGGGCCGGCAGGTGCAGCGGCGGGCCGGCAGGTGCAGCGGCGGGCCGGCAGGTGCAGGCGGCGGGCCGTAGGGTGCAGCGGCGGGCCGTAGGGTGCAGCGGCGGGCCGGCAGGTGCAGCGGCGGGGCCGTCAGGTGAGGCGGCGGGCCGGCAGGAGTAGCGGCGGGCCGTAGGGTGCAGCGGCGGGGCCGTCAGAGGCGGCGGGCCGCTGGGTGCAGCGGCGGGCCGGCAGGTGCAGCGGCGGGCCGGCAGGAGCAGCGGCGGGCCGGCAGGAGCAGCGGCGGGGCCGTCAGGTGAGGCGGCGGGCCGGCAGGAGCAGCGGCGGGCCGTAGGGTGCAGCGGCGGGGCCGTCAGAGGCGGCGGCGGGGCCGCGGCAGTAGAGGCGGGGCCGCGTCAGGGGAGGCGGCGGGGCCGCGTCAGGGGAGGCGGCGGGGCCGCGTCAGGGGAGGCGGCGGGGCCGCGTCAGGGGAGGCGGCGGGGCCGCGTCAAGCAGGCGGCGGGGCCGCGATCAAGAGAGGTGGCGGGGCCGCGTCTGAGGGACAGCGGGGCCGCGAGGGAAAAGGCGACCCGAGGGGTCGCTAAAAAAAAAAAAAAAGGGCGCGCCTCGGGGCGCGCTTCGGTGGGCCCAAAAAAAACGGTCCTAAGGCAGGACCCGCTCTATACCATGTGAAGCAAGGAAAACAGGAATGAAATGACTAAGGAAAGATTGGGTACAAATACAACCCTAGAAACCCTGTACCCCATATGTGCTACCCCACTATAGCCTACAGTAACTATGTCATATAAATCTGACATCTACGACGGGAGCTCATCTTGACAGCTGGGCAACTAGTCCTTCTCGACACGAAGAATCTGAACCTGCCTGGCCCTGAGAAACTTCGGCCACGATTTTGCGGACCGTTTAAAATTCTCAAGATGGTGACACCTGTCACCGCGAAGCTGTTGCTCCCCGACGAATGGCATATCCACGACGCATTCCACGTCAACCTTCTTCGGAAGTTCGTGCCTGCCACGACCGACATTGCACGTCAGCAAGCGGCACCGACAGCTCGACCGGTACCGGAACCAACCCTTGACCCGTCAAGAATCCTCGCTCATCGGGTCCGCCTTGACGCCACTGGTTGCCACGTGGATTTTTTTATTCGCTGGACTGACCGCACCAGTGAGGACGACACGTGGGTGCCCTCCGCTTCACTGGACGCCTCGACGCTTGTTGGTGATTATTTGGCGCGCCGTCGTGTCTCGGCTATTGACTACCTTTCTTAAGGGGGGGGTGGTGTAAGGAATTTTCCCGAATTCCTTATCGGGGTTGACTGCTTCGCGTACAACCCGATTTTCGGAGTTCGCACGTTCGGCCGATTTCAACGCTGCCGAGGCTCCTCGCGTCGCCTCCGGCTTTCTCATCGCCAAACCTGCACCCAACCTCGCTCATCCGAGGTTCTCTCCTAGCTAGCGTAGTTCTATAATAGTTTGGGCATTCATTGTATTCGCAGTTGATTCAGTCACACCTTCGTTATTCGTTTACCTGCGGACTCTCATTTACAACCCATAACAACCCTGCACCAACGCCTCGCCCGCCCTCTCACTCTCGCCCCTCTCGCCACAAGGGAGACACTCACACCTACTCCATACATGCCTGTCTCTCATGTTGGTTCTTGAACAGCGCTAGCCGCGCCAGCTTGCGTTCAATCGCGGCGACCCTCACCTCTCATTACTGTCTCGCCACCAAACGCGGCCTCATCTCGCATCCGTTCAGGCTCGCCTCTCTTCCCCTCGCCTAGCCTCCGCTCGCGGTTTCAGGAGCTCTCGCACTCTCACATTCGTCGCGCCCGCTCGCACACACTCCCTCTCACGAGGCGCCGGTTCCTCTAATACACACTCACACACACCCGACAACCGCCCGCCAGCTTTATCAAGAGGCCCGACTGGCCTCCAATACTCGTCTCGCCTCCCCTCCTCCCCGCACACCCTTCCTTTTCGCCCACGGCTTTCATTTCCACCTCAATCCTCTCGCCATCCCTTTTCTTTCCGTCCCCGCCGCACACTTCCATTTTCTTCGCTTGCATTGCTAAGTCCCTGGTTGCGACCCCAAATCTGGTTATGATAGCCTTGTATCACCGATCCTTAAAAACAAAGTAATCTCAGCAACAAACCCAAGAAGCCAACCCGCAACCTATACACTCCCAAAACCCCACCAGTAGATCTCTGAAGACAAAACGAAACCCGGCAAAATCCAAACCCGTAACATCAACCCTCCCATGTCCATATTGTCACTGGAACAACCCCAGCACTGGCATCGGGCGAGGTTCCACAAGCAGCTGCTCCTACCCTGCTTTCATTCCTCCCCCTCCCCCTTCTCACGCTTCTCCTTCAGCTGACGCTTCTAGTGCTTCTTTCCCTCCTCGCGCTTCGCGCCCTCCTCACGCTTCCCGCCCTTCTCGTTCAGCTCACGCGGCTTCTCGTGCTTCTCGCGCTTCTCGCACTTCTTCACGCTCCTCCGGGTGTCCGCAGCATCAGCATCAGCATCTCCCTCCGCCAGCGGGGGGAGCTGGTCGACCTCCGCCATGCTGCGACCACGCGCGCCATCACAGCCAACTGAATCAGCACCAGCGTCGGCAGGGGTCTCAGCACCAGGTGCCGTCCCACCAGGTGCTGCTGCCTTGCTTGCATTCTTTTTCCCCTTCTTCCCCTTCTTGCATTTCTTGCCCTTTCTCCCCTTCTTGCACTTCTTCCCCTTCTTCACGCTCCTCCGCGTGTCCGCAGCATCAGCATCAGCATCTCCCTCCGCCAGCGGGGGAAGCTGGTCGACCTCCGCCATGCTGCGACCAGGCGCGCCATCAGAGCCAACTGAATCAGCACCAGCGTCGGCAGGGGTCTCAGCACCAGGTGCCGTCCCACCAGGTGCTGCTGCCTTGCTTGCGTTCTTTTTCCCCTTCTTCCCCTTCTTGCATTTCTTGCCCTTTTTCCCCTTCTTGCACTTCTTCCCCTTCTTCAGGCTCCTCCGCGTGTCCGCAGCATCAGCATCAGCATCTCCCTCCGCCAGCGGGGGAAGCTGGTCGACCTCCGCCATGCTGCGACCAGGCGCGCCATCAGAGCCAACTGAATCAGCACCAGCGTCGGCAGGGGTCTCAGCACCAGGTGCCGTCCCACCAGGTGGTGCTGCCTTGCTTGCATTCTTTTTCCCCTTCTTCCCCTTCTTGCATCTCTTGCCCTTTTTCCCCTTCTTGCACTTCTTCCCCTTCTTCAGGCTCCTCCGCGTGTCCGCAGCATCAGCATCAGCATCTCCCTCCGCCAGCGGGGGGAGCTGGTCGACCTCCGCCATGCTGCGACCAGGCGCGCCATCAGAGCCAACTGAATCAGCACCAGTGTCGGCAAGGGTCTCAGCACCAGGTGCCGCCCCACCAGGTGCTGCTGCCTTGCTTGCATTCTTTTTCCCCTTCTTCCCCTTCTTGCATTTCTTGCCCTTTTTCCCCTTCTTGCACTTCTTCCCCTTCTTCAGGCTCCTCCGCGTGTCCGCCACGTCAGCATCAGCATCGCCCTCCGCCAGCGGGGAGGGCAGGTCGACCTCGGCCATGCTACGAGCAGCCGCGCCATCAGGGCCCGCCTCCTCGCCCCCACTCGGTGCACCTGAATCTCCGCCAGCGTAGGCAGGGGCCTCAGCACCAGGTGCCGCCCCCGCCCCACCAGGTGCTGCTACCGCGCCGCCATTCTTTTTCCCCTTCTTCCCCTTCTTCCCCTTCTTCCCCTTCCTGCATTTCTTCCCCTTCTTGCATTTCTTCCCCTTCTTCTTCAGGCTCCTGTGAATGTCTGCTACCTCAGCATCAGCATCTCCCTCCTCAATCTGGGAGGGCAGGTCGACCTCCGCCATGCTGCACGCAGCCGCACCTGAATCCCCGCCAGCGTCGGCACCACCAGGTGCCGCTCCCTCAGGTGCCGCCCCCTCAGGTGCCGCCCCACCAAGTGCCGCCCCCGCCCCACCGGGTGCTGCTACCGCGCCGCCATTCTTTTTCCCCTTCTTCCCCTTCCTGCATTTCTTCCCCCTCTTCTTCAGGCTCCTCCGCGTGTCCGCCACGTCAGCATAAGCGTCCCCCTCCGCCAGAAGGGAGAGCAGGTCGACCTCCGTCAGCACGCGAACAGCGCCATTGTGGCGCGACGCTTCGCCCTCCTCCGCAAGAGCGCGGTTCGTTATAAGCACATCCGCGTCCTCGCTTGCGTCATCTGGGAGCGCTTTGCCCGTGGCGAGGAGGCTGTCGTCGGGGCTTGCGGCGAGAGTGGCGAGAGCGGGATTGAACTCCGCCGCGGCCGCCAGGTGCGCAACCGCGAGCGCACAGAGCAGCAGTAGGAAAGCGCGAAACATGGTCATGGCTTAGTGGACTCAACTTCGACTTGATCGCGATGTGAACTCTTCTAACCGAAACTGTTTCTACAAATGATGGAGGAGAGTGGAGATGCGAACGAATATATAGTGTCGGGCTGTGTTTCGAGGCGGCTCGAGATTCGCCGTGAATCAAAGGTGAAACTAATCTGAGAGAAGGCCCATCTGCGTGTGAGGCGGTCGGCCTAGGGTCGCCCATAGTTTCACTCGTTTCAAAAGAAGTTGGCGTGATTCACGGGCCTCGTCTGCGTGACTCCAGCAGGTGGCGCCTTGACCTGCGGGCGATGGCAACACTTGCGGAAGAATCGCTCCAGAAAAGAAGTGCTGTGAGGTTGGTTCCTGAGGGAACTGGAATTCTCAAGGGACCCTCGAAAGTACCAATTATGGGGTGACCCTCGAGATTGCTGGAGTGTGTCAGACATATATGGCATAGCTGTTTTAGGCTATAGTGGGGTAGCACATATGGGGTACAGCTTTCTAGGGTTTGTATTTGTACCCAACTTTCACTTAGTCATTCTGATTCTCGTTCAGTTCTTCTCATGGTATCGAGCAGGTTCCCCTGTGGGAACTGCGCCTAGGGCCCACCACTCGAAATTCTTTTTTTTTTCTTCTGCCCGAAGCGCACTCATCCCGAGTCGCGCCTCGGGCCACTCCTTCCCCGAGCCGCCCTAGCGGCCGGCCTTACCCTCGCGGCCCCGCTACCCAGTGAACGCGGCCCCGTCGCCTCTCCTCTAGCGGCCCCGCCGCCCTGCTCTAGCGGCCCTCGCCGCCCTTACTCACGCGGCTCCGCCGCCCCTGATCACGCGGCCCCGCCGCCCCTGCTCCAGCGGCCCCGCCGACCCTGATCTCGCGGCCCTCGCCGCCCCTGATCTCGCGGCCCCGCCGCCCACGCACTCACGGCCCCGCCGCCCCTGCTACGCGGCGCTCGCCGCCCCTGATCTCGCGGCCCCGCCGCCCACGCACTCACGGCCCCACCGCCCCTGCTACGCGGCCCCGCCGTCCCTGCGCTAACGGCCCCGCCGCCCCTGCTATCGCGGCCCCGCCGCCCCAGCGCTCACGGCCCCGCCGCCCCTGATATCGCGGCCCCGCCGTCCCTGCGCTCCCGGCCCCGCCGCCCCTGATACGCGGCCCCGCCGCCCCAGCGCTCCTGGCCCCGCCGCCCCTGATACGCGGCCCCGCCGTCCCTGCGCTCCCGGCCTTGCCACCCCTGCTACACGGTCCCGCCGTCCCTGATCTCACGGCTCTGCCGCCCCAGCGCTCACGGCCCCGCCGCCCCTGATCTCGCGGCCCCGCCGCCCCAGCGCTCCCGGCCCCGCCGCCCCTGATACGCGGCCCCGCCGTCCCTGATCTCACGGCCCTGCCGCCCCAGCGCTCACGGCCCCGCCGCCCCTGATCTCGCGGCCCCGCCGCCCTAACGCTCACGGCCCCGCCGCCCCAGCACTCACAGCCCCGCCGCCCCTTGCTCTCGCGCCGCCCGACTGCAGCAGCCAAGCCACCGCACCGCCGAGCAGCAGTGCGGCCGAGCCGCCCTGCACCCGAGTCGCCCGGCAGCCGAGCCGCCCTGCACCCGAGCCGCCCTGCCGCCGAGCCGCCCGGGAGCCGAGCCGCCCAGCAGCCGAGTCGCTGAGTCGCCTAGCCGCCCGTCTGCCGAGCTGCCCCGACCTGCCCTGCCCGGTGAGCACAGTACCGGTGTCACTGCGTGCTCTTCCCCTACTGCTTGCACTGCTTCGCTGTCGCCGTCATGGCTACCCCTAGTGTCCTAGCTTTTGACGCTGAGGGTCGAGCCATTGACTTTGAGGTCTGGGTCGACGACCTGCAGCTGTACTTACAGTGCGATAGGGCGGACGGTCTCTCTCTCTTTGACCTCACTTCTGACGCCTCCCCTGCCCCTGCTGCTGATGCTGACCCCACTGTTCGCTCTCAGTGGGCCACCCGCGATGCTGCTGCACGTCTTGCTGTGCGTCGCCACCTCCCTACCACTGAGCGCGCGCACTTTAGTCAGTACAAGAGTGCTCAGACCTTGTACGACGCTGTAGTTGCGCGCTACTCTTCCCCTGCCACTGCTGCACTGAGCCGCCTCATGCTACCGTACCTCTTTCCTGACCTCACTGCCTTTCCCACTGTCGCTGACCTAGTTACGCACCTCCGCACTAGTGACGCTCGCTACCGCGCTGCCCTTCCTACTGAGTTCTGCGCCAAGAACCCCCCCCCCCCATGTACATCACTCTCTACTACGTAGTCGCACGCCTCCCTGACTCCCTTCGCGTAGTCAGGGACCACTTTCTCTCAGTCTGTCCCACCACCCTCACTGTCGTCCTCCTCGAGAAGGCCCTCCTAGCGGCGGAGAAAAGCATCGTCGCTGTAGGAGCTTCTCGTGGTGACCCTCGCACCCCCATCTTTGAGGGGTGCTCTCCTTCCCCCCTGCTGCCCTCTGTTGCCTCTGCTGCTGCTGCCGACCTGCTTGGTCTTGAGTCGGTCGGCGCGGCGTCTGCCCCTAGTGGGAGACGTCGCTCTGGCAAGGGCAAGGGGGGCAAGGGCGCGGGTGGAGCTCGAGGGGGCGGTGGAGGTGGCGGTGGAGGCAGCGGAGGGAGTGGGGGTGGCGGCGGGAGTGGTGGCGGCGGCGGTGGTGGTGGTGGCAGCGGCGGAGGAGGCGGCGGTGGTGGCGGCAGCGGTGGAGGTGGAGGCGGCGGAGGAGGCGGAGGAGGAGGCGGTGGTGGCGGAGGGGGTGGAGCTGGTCGAGGTGGTACCCCGCAGCGGAGCGGCTCTGGTAGTGGTCAGCGCCAGCAGCAGCAGCAACAGCGTTCGCGGGACATCCCTCCGCCCCAGCAGCTCCGTGAGTGGTACACGCAGCGTCAGCGGGGTGGGGGTACTGGTCCGTGCACCTACGTCCTTCGTTCCGGCGACCGCGCGGGTGAGCAGTGTGGGGGTGCCCACCCCACCCAGCGCTGCTTTGGCCGCCTGACGGACGCTTGGCGTCAGCAGTTCCCCGAGGCTAGTGAGATTCCCCGCTGGGGAGAGCTGTCTAGGGCTGGTGTAGCTATCTTTGATCTTGACTTTGATGCTATCCTTGCTGCTATGTATGCTGTGACTATTAGTGAGGAGGGTGACTGTTACCAGTGTTTCCCGCCCGACCCGGGCATTGGTACTACTACGCTAGGTACTTGTGAGACTGCTGCTCTAGGTGCCAGTGCGTCTGCGCTCTCAGGTACTGGTGAGACTGCGCTCTCAGGTACTGCGTCGGCTTCGGCCTCCCTCACTTTCACACTTGACTCCGGAGCTTCTCGCTCCTTCTTTCGAGACCGCACCACACTCACGCCGCTTGGTCGGCCGGTTGCAGTCTCCCTGGCTGACCCCTCTGGGGGTCCTGTCCTCTCTCACTTTTCCACTGTCCTCGCGTGTCCGGCTGCCCCCTCGGGCACCCTGTCTGGTCTGTACCTTCCCTCGTTCTCGACGAACTTGGTGAGTGGTGCGGACCTGCAGGATGCGGGGGTTCACCAGTTCACTCCTGCGAGTCAGCGGGTGACCCACTGCACGGACGCACGCACAGGCCGGCACCTGGCCACGTTCTCTCGTCGGCCGGGGTCGAGCCTCTACACCCTGACCACTCAGTCTCCTCCTGTCCCTGCGTCTGGTCAGGTAGCTGCGTCAGGTCAGGTGTTTGCTGCTGCGTCCCGGTCTGGCCCTGAGTCTGCCCCCTGTTCGTGTCCCCTCCTGTCTCACGAGACTCTCCTGTGGCACCACCGTCTTGGCCACCCCTCCTTGCCCCGTCTTCGGGGCATGGCTTCCCGTGTCCTTGTCTCTGGTCTTCCCCAGTCTCTCCCTCCCCTTCCTTCGGGACCAGGACCTTCCTGTGTCCCCTGTGTCGAGGGGCGCCTCAGGGCTGCTCCTCACTCCTCCCAGTTTCCCCCGACAGAAGCTCCTCTGCAGACACTTCACATGGACGTGTGGGGCCCAGCCCCCGTCCGTGGGCAGGGTCACGAGCGCTACTTCCTGTTGGTGGTTGACGACTACTCGCGTTACACCACAGTCTTCCCCTTGCGCAGCAAGGGTGCTATCAGTGAGGTGCTGATCGACTGGATCCGCGAGGCTCGTCTCCAGCTCAGGAGGAGCTTCGGCTCGGACTTTCCTGTTCTGCGTCTGCACTCTGACCGAGGTGGGGAGTTCTCCTCTCGCCTTCTACGAGACTACTGTCGTGCACGGGGGATCCGCCAGACCTTTACGCTTCCGGACTCTCCACAGCAAAATGGGATTGCTGAGCGCCGCATTGGCATGGTCATGGATGTCGCTCGTACGTCCATGATGCATGCGGCTGCCCCCCATTTTCTGTGGCCGTTTGCGGTTCGGTACGCGGCGCATCATCTCAACCTCCACCCCAGGGTCTCTCGGCCCGCGATGTCCCCAGTCTTGCTGTGGACGGGGAAGGTCGGCGATGCGTCTGCGTTCCGTGTCTGGGGATCTCGGGCGTTTGTCCGCGACTTGTCTGCGGACAAGCTGTCCCCTCGTGCTGCTCCTTGTGTCTTCCTTGGCTTCCCCCCTGACGCTCCAGGGTGGCAATTCTACCACCCCTCCTCTCATCGTGTTCTGTCCTCCCAGGACGTCACGTTCGATGAGTCAGTCCCCTTCTACCGCCTCTTCCCCTACCGCACTCCTTCCCTCCCCCCGCCACCGGACTTCCTTGTGCCGGTTCCCCCCCCGGTAGATCCCTCCCCCCTCAGGTTCCTGCCCCCTCAGGTGTGTCCCAGGTAGACGCCGTTGACCCGGTCGAGGTTACTGGTGACTCTGGTGCTGCTGCGGGTGCTGAGCCTGGGGGTGCTGACTCTGGGGGTGTTGTGCGCGTGGGTGCTGAGGCTGGGGGTGCCGGTCCTGGAGGTGCTGCTACTGGGGGTGCTGAGCCTGGGGGTGCTACTGCTGAGGGTGCTGAGTCGGGGGGTGCTGTGCCTGGAGCTGCTGAGCTAGGGGGTGCTGAGTCTGGGGGTGCTGAGCCTGGAGGTGCTGAGTCTAGGGGTACTGCGCCTGGAGCTGCTGAGCCTGGGGTTTCTCCTGGTGCTCCGTCTCGGCGGGAGCCCCTCTCTCCACAGGAGCTGCGCGAGTGGTTTGCTCGCCGCTGGAGGCGTCCTGCTGGAGCTGGAGTTGTTTCGACCGCCGAGGGTGCTGGTGCCGCCGGTCCCGGAGCTGCTGGGCCTGCGGGTCCTACTGGAGCTGGAGCTGCTGAGGGTGTTGGTGCTGAGACTACTGCTGTCTGTCCTGGCGGTGGTCCTGCTGCTGGTGCTGCTGGAGGTCCTGCCGCTGGAGGTGTTGGTGGCGCTGGTGCAGCCGCTGAGGGTGCTGGTGCTGTCCGTGCTGGGTCTGGAGCTGCCGCGCGGCCTCGGCCGTACTTCGTTCCGCTCCTACAGCAGGTTCTTGGTCTTTCTCCTCCTGTAGAGTGTCCACAGCCTGTCCAGTCGCGGTCACTGTTGGAGCCTACCTCCCCACTGCCTGCTCCCTCTCCTTACACTGGTCCTACTAGGGGTCTTGCTGAGCGTCGTGAGCCTGCGTCTCGTCCCGCGTCGCCTGTTCGTGCTGCTCGCGCTAGTGGTCGCGGTTCGCGTCAAGGTCCTCCTCCTGTCCCTGGCACGCACCGGATGTCTCTGCGTCCGTCCACTGCTCCTCTGCGTGCCCCTTTGCCTTCTCCTCCTGAGTCCTCTCTTCCTACGCTTGCCGACCCGGAGTCGGACTCCCTTCGTGCTGCCAGTCCTACTGTCACGCGTTTGCTTGCTACTGTTGTCACTGACCCCTCTTTTGAGTCCGCTGTTGCGTCTGCTCTTGTCACTGAGCTCGTCGACTTTGCTGCCCGGTGTCGTCTAGACTACGCTGCTAGTCTTGTTGCTGAGTCTGCGTCTGTCTGTCCTCCGTCCGTCGGGGGTGAGTGTGCTCTTGGCACGGACGTCCTTGAGGACAGGAAGGAGGAGTTCCAGTGTCTGGGTGTTGGTTCACCTCATCTCGTGTCCGTACTGCTTACCCCTGAGGGAGACCCGGATGCACTTGACATCCCGACTCCGCGCTCTTACGCGGAGGCCGTAGAGGGTCCCTACTCCTCTCAGTGGCAGGCAGCTATGGATGCAGAGATGGCTTCCTGGAAGTCCACAGGCACCTACGTTGACGAGGTTCCCCCTCCTAGGGCGAACATCGTCAGTGGCATGTGGATCTTCAGGGTGAAGCGGCCGCCTGGCTCTCCACCTGTCTTCAAGGCGCGGTACGTCGCTCGTGGCTTCAGTCAGCGGCAGGGAGTTGACTACTTTCAGACTTTCTCTCCCACCCCGAAGATGACTACTCTTCAGGTGCTGCTGCACATAGCCGCTCAGCGCGAGTACGAGCTTCATTCTCTCGACTTCAGCACTGCGTTCTTGCAGGGTAGCCTGCACGAGGAGATCTGGCTGCGCCGTCCACCTGGCTTCACTGGGACTTTCCCTCCTGGCACCCAGTGGAGCCTCCGACGGCCAGTCTACGGTCTCCGCCAGGCCCCGCGTGAGTGGCACGACACACTGAGGACTACGCTTGTGGCTCTTGGGTTTGCTCCTTCTACTGCTGACCCGTCGCTGTTTCTGCGCACCGACACTTCTCTGCCGCCGTTCTACATCCTCGTGTACGTCGACGACTTGGTCTTTGCCACAGCGGACACTGCTGGAGTTGCCTACGTGAAGTCCGAGCTGCTGAAGAGACACACGTGCACAGACCTGGGTGAACTGCGCAGCTATCTTGGCTTGTAGATCACTCGAGACAGAGCACGCCGCACCATTACCTTGACTCAGTCACACATGGTGCAGCAGGTCCTTCAGCGCTTCGGCTTCACGTACTCCTCGCCTCAGGCCACTCCTCTGTCTACTCGCCACTCGCTCTCAGCTCTGCCTTCGGATGAGTCCGTAGAGTCGAGTGGCCCGTACCCAGAGCTTGTTGGCTGCCTCATGTACCTGATGATCTGCACACGGCCTGACCTTGCATACCCTCTTAGCATTCTTGCACGCTATGTTGCTCCTTGGAGACACCGACCAGAGCACATGGCTGCAGCGAAGAGGGTGTTGCGCTACCTGCGCAGTACGTCGGGCATGGGGCTAGTGCTTGGAGGGCGGAGTCCAGTGGTCCTTACGGGACACGGGGACGCTTCTTGGGCTGACGACCAGGCTACGCAGCGGTCGTCACAGGGTTACACCTTCAGCCTTGGTTCCGGCTCTGTCTCGTGGCGGGCTACTCGCTCGTCTTCGGTCCTCAGCTCCAGTTGTGAGGCTGAGATCTACGCCGGGGCCATGGCTGCGCAGGAGCTTCGCTGGCTCACCTACCTGCTGACTGACCTTGGAGAGCCGCCTCGTTCTCCTCCAGTGCTGTACGTAGACAAGAAGGCCATGCTGGCCTTGTGTCGAGAGCAGCGCCTGGAGCACAGAACGAAGCACATTGCTCTCCGCTACTTCCTTGCTCGTGAGCTACAGCAGCGTGGACAGTTGCGGCTTGCGTACGTGGCCTCTGAGGCCAACACTGCTGACGTGTTCACCAAGGCACTCGCGCCTTGTGACCATCAGCGCTTCTGCACTCAGTTGGGTCTTGTACCTGTCTTGCCTCACTTGCTCTCCTCTTGACCTTGCTTGTACTGTCACATATATATACATGCTCTTGCTTGTCTAGCTCTATATATATATGTGTACCCCTGCATGTGAACTGGCCTTGTGGCCTTGTTGTTGTGCTCGGACTGTGTGGTGACTTTGTGATCCACCCTGAGCTTGCCTTGCTTTGCTTTGCTTGACTGGTCTTGTGACCCCTTGTTCTCCCCCACTTTGCCTATGGGGGTGTGTCAGACATATATGGCATAGCTGTTAAAGGCTATAGTGGGGTAGCACATATGGGGTACAGCTTTCTAGGGTTTGTATTTGTACCCAACTTTCACTTAGTCATTCTGATTCTCGTTCAGTTCTTCTCAGAGTGACCCCCCGAACCAATGATGCAGCGAACTAACTGCAACAACACACCGCCAAGTACGGCTGCGAAGATAATTCTGCTCATATATCTACAGATAATTCTGGCCATTAACTAATATACTCATATGAAAGAAAGGGAATATAGAATACAATGGATATAGAAAAGGGGGAAAAAGGTTGACAAAGGGGAATGCGTGAGCGAACATTCATTATAGAATATTTATTACCGCTGCATTAGATCAGAAATTCCCGCTTTTCTCTTATTCTTCATAATTGCCTTATCCACAAGGAAAACACACGTCATGGCTCCAATACTTTTCTTGCCAACCAGAAATTCAAATTAAAACTGTGAGAATGATACTTCATCATAATCACATTGCTCTTTCCGTTTCACATGTATCACCCTTTTGTACTTCAGTACCATAATGTGAGTTAGCGCTAGGGAAATTTTACTCTGTAGATATACATGCTAATCTCAGACCCCCCATATCCGCAATTGGCGGACTGTTCTTTGAGCTGGTCTGCTGTATAATTGCGGGGGGTCACCCCAGCAATCTCGAGGGTCGCATGCTGATTGGATGGGCACTTCCGAGGTCCCCTCGGGAATTCAAGTGCCATATGCTGTGCACTTCTCTTTTGGAGCAAAAGCAATTCTTCTGCAGTTTCCATCGCCCGCAAGTCAAGGAGCGCCACCTTTTTGAGTCAGGCAGGCTAGGCCCCGTGAATCTAGCCAGCTCATATGAATCGAGTGACATTATGGGCGACCCTAGCACCGCCTCACACGCAGACGAGTCCTTGCGTCAGTTAGCTGCGCGCTTCGTTACTTCCTTCAGTTCACGGCAAATCCCGAGCCGCCTCGAAACACATCTCGACACTACATATTCGTTTCGCATGTCCACTCTTCTCCATCACTTGAACCGGTCTCATCCGATAAGTTCATATCGCAATATTACTACTAGCTATCCAGCTTGAGACCAAAAGTTAGCAATGAAGGTGCTTCGCGCTTTCCTGCTGCTGCTCTGTGCGCTCGCGGTTGCGCACCTGGCGGCCGCGGCGGAGTTCAACCCCGCTCTCGCTACTCTCGCCGCAAGCCCCGACGACAGCCTCCTCGCCACGGGCAAAGCGCTCGCAGATGACGCAAGCGAGGACGCGGATGTGCTTATAACGAACCGCGCTCTTGCGGAGGAGGGCGAAGAGTCGCGCCACAATGGCGCTGTTCGCGTGCTGACGGAGGTCGACCTGCTCTCCCTGCTGGCGGAGGGGGACGCTTATGCTGACGTGGCGGACTCGCGGAGGAGCCTGAAGAAGAGGGGGAAGAAATGCAAGAAGGGGAAGAAGGGGAAGAAATGCCGGAAGGGGAAGAAGGGGAAAAAGAATGGCGGCGCGGTAGCAGCACCCGGTGGGGCGGGGGCGGCACCTGGTGGGGCGGCACCTGAGGGGGCGGCACCTGAGGGAGCGGCACCTGAGGGAGCGGCACCTGGTGGTGCCGACGCTGGCGGGGGTTCAGGTGCGGCTGCGCGCAGCATGGCGGAGGTCGACATGCCCTCCCAGATTGAGGAGGGAGATGCTGATGCTGACGTGGCAGACATTCGCAGGAGCCTGAAGAAGAAGGGGAAGAAATGCAAGAAGGGGAAGAAGGGGAAGAAATGCAGGAAGGGGAAGAAGGGGAAAAAGAATGGCGGCGCGGTAGCAGCACCCGGTGGGGCGGGGGCGGCACCTGGTGGGGCGGCACCTGAGGGGGCGGCACCTGAGGGAGCGGCACCTGGTGGTGCCGACGCTGGCGGGGGTTCAGGTGCGGCTGCGCGCAGCATGGCGGAGGTCGACATGCCCTCCCAGATTGAGGAGGGAGATGCTGATGCTGACGTGGCAGACATTCGCAGGAGCCTGAAGAAGAAGGGGAAGAAATGCAAGAAGGGGAAGAAATGCAAGAAGGGGAAGAAGGGGAAGAAATGCAAGAAGGGGCAGAAGGGGAAGAAATGCTGGAAGGGGAAGAAGGGGAAGGAACCCAAGAAGGGCATGGATGGGCCTCCTGCCGCTGCTGGCGCTGATTCAGCCGCACCGAGTGGGGGCGAGGAGGCGGGGTCTGATGGCGCGGCTGCTCGCAGCATGGCCGAGGTCGACCTGCCCTCCCCGCTGGCGGAAGGCGATGAGGATGCTGATGGCGATGCTGACGTGGCGGATGTGCGTAGGAGCCTGAAGGAGGGAAAGAAGGGAAAGAAAGGGAAGAGGGGGAAGAAGGGCAATAAGCACGGGAAGCATGGGAAGCACGGGAAGCATGGGAAGCATGGGAAGCATGGGAACGGAGAGAAGCACGAGAAGGAAGGGAAGCATGAGGAGGGAGAGAAGCACGAGAAGGGCGAGAAAGCAGAATGAAATCGGGGCAGCAGCAGCTTGTGGGGCCCCGTCCGGTTCCAGCGCTGGAGCTGGTGCATGTGAGGGCTTTGGTTTTGCAGGGTTTAGTCAGTCTTTAACTGGTGGGATTTGGGATGGGGGGTCTAGTGGGTGCGTAGACTGCAGGCTGGTTTGTTTGAATGTGGTCATGTTTTTAAGCATTGGACTTCTTGAGATGGCTGGACTAAGACTTGAAACCTTATCCTCCTTGGATGGGGTGGTTTGTGCCATGATCAGGGTGAGGCCTACAATCTAACCTAGGTGAAAGTACCCTACGGTTACATGAGACTTCATAACGGAAAGATCTGTGAACGAGTTTGGGGCGTCATTCTGATGGCGGGTTATCTCTCCTTAGAAGCATATCAACCCCCTTGACCAGTTGCCTTATTTCCCTTGATAGTCCCTTGATGAGTATTAGTTACTCTGCGCACTCTTCGTGGCTGTATCGAGACTGCTGCTGCCGAGGGAATTTTTATTTCCCACAACGACAATCGATTACGTTCCGTTGTGAGTTTCGTCTCTCCATGTGCGTGCGATTCGGCCCCTGCACCACGATTTCAGTTGGTGAGCAGATTTTGAATTTCCGCCACTCCATCAGTTGAATCTGGATTCCAGCATACCTCCATTCCGTTCCGTTTCAACGGTTGGGGTGGGGATATGCGCACTCCCTGAGTGACCTCGTCACAGCTCTGTACAAACAGGTATTTATGATACGAGCGCGGACATCGCTTTCCGTCCAGCGTGCATAGACAAAAGATATGCCAAGACAAGAGTCTTATAGGTCAAGCGCGTCCTTAGACAGGCTATCAAGAGCCAGGTAACGCATACGAGCGTGATGGCGTTGCAGGATGTGGTTCCTGAAAATGCGATGGGCGAGCAGGGAAGGGCGAGCAAGAGACAACGAATCGAGAACGCACAAGTTCGACATGAACTGCTTATCACGAAACTGCTAATCATGCTGGTACAAGAAATGACAAGGATACAATTGAGAAGGCCATAGCATGGCCCACAAACTTCATTGTGAAAAAACAACATAATTTCTGACAACGAGTTATGTCACAAGGACTGTGCGGAGGAAGGCTGATAAAGCGTACGCGCCCACACATCCGCTTCTAATTATTGAATCGCCGCAGCTCGCTGTTATGAGTTGTAAAAGAGAGTGCGCAGGTAAACGAATAACGAAGCTGTGACTGAATGAATTCCGAATACAAAGAATGTCCAGACTAAAATAGAACTACGCTAGCTAGGAGAGAACCTCGGACGAGCGAGGTTGGGTGCAGGTTTGGCGATGAGAAAGCCGAAGGCGACGCGAGGAGCCTCGGCAGCGTTGAAATCGGCCGAACGTGCGAACTCCGAAAATCGGGTTGTACGCGAAGCAGTCAACCCCGATAAGGAATTCGGGAAAATTCCTTACACCACCCCCCCCCCCGTAAGAAAGGTAGTCAATAGCCGAGACACGACGTCGTGCCAAGTAATCAGCAACAAGCGTCGAGGCGACCAGTGAAGCAGATGGCACCCACGTGTCGTCCTCACTGGTGCGATCCGTCCAGCGGATCAAGAAATCCACGTGGCGACCAGCGGCATCAAGGCGGACCCTATGAGCGAGGATTTTCGAAGGATCCAGGGTCGGCTCCGGGACGGGGCGAGCTGTCGGGACCGCGTGCTGACGTGCGATGTCGGTCGTGGCAGGCACGAACTTCCGAAGAAGGTTGACGTGGAATGCGTCGTGGATGTGCCAGTCGTCGGGGAGCAACAGCTTCGCAATGACAGGTGTCACCATCTTGAGAATTTGAAACGGTCCGCAAAAACGTGGCCGAAGTTTCGCAGGGCCGGGCAGGTTCAAGTTCTTCGTGTCGAGAAGGACTAGTTGCCCAGCTGTCAAGATGAGTTCCCGTCGTAGAAGGTTGGTATATTTGCGGGAAGTGATATTCGCCTTGCGAATTGCATCGGCAGCTTTTTCTCGGACCTCCTGAAGTTCCGTCACGAAAGTCTAGGAACGGGGAACCGGGTTGGTGAGTGTAGTTGTCGTTGGGACCGTCGGATCCATCCCATAATTGAGGAAAAACGGGGAGTGATTAGTCGTGCTGGATGGTGCGTTGTTGAAGGCGAATTCCAGCATGGCGAGCGAGTCTTCCCAGCGGGCAGGGTCGGGGCAGTTTGTTCGAATTAACTGCTCCATGGTCTGGTTGGTCCGCTTGGTTTGACCGTCGGTCTGCGGGTGATAGGCCGATGAGAACTGTAGCTTCGTGCCGTATTGGGCCCACGTTTCCTTCCAGAACTTGGACGTGAATTTGGGGTCGCGGTCGCTGATGATCGCCGAAGGGATGCCGTGCAGTCGCACAACCGTCGAGATGAAACGTCGCGCAGTTTCTTCGGCTGTGATTGTTGTGCGGCATGGTGCGAAGTGCGCCATTTTCGTGAAGCGATCGACGACGACGAGAACAGCGTCGTTGCCCGTCGGCCCAGCTGGCATCCCCGTGACAAAATCCATTGTCACATGTTGCCACGGTCGTTCGGGTGGCTCGAGGGGTTGCAGAAGCCCAGCTGGTCGCTGACGTGTCGACTTCATTGCTTGGCACACCCTGCATGAGGACACATATCGCTGCACGTCGTTAGAGGAATCGGGCCAATAATATTGACGGTGCAGTATCTTCTGGGTTTTATCAACCCCGAAATGTCCGGAGAGGTTGGAATCGTGAATTTCCTGGATGAGGAGCTCTCGCAGCAGTCGATAAGCGGGAACCCAAATCCGGTCGGTTCCGGCTTTTCGGTAATAGTCCCCTTTCTGCGTCGTAGCCTGCTGATAATTTCCCGAGGTGAAGAAGGGGTCTGTCGTGTAGCCGTGGGTGAATAGTCCGGTAAGTAGCGGGTTCGAGTGGGTGATGAGTACTGCAACGGATTGGACTGTCGGTCGGGTCAGGGCGTCGGCGATGTTATTAGCCCCTTTTTTATACGTGATGCGGTAGGTGAAATGGCTCTCCATGTAGTCGAGCCATCGAATCTGTCGTGGGTTGAGGTTGGGTTGGGCTCGCAGATACTGTAGGGATTTGTGGTCCGTGCGAACAGTGACGTCGGCGCCCACCAGGTAGCATCGCCACTGTTTAAATGCGTGTATGATGGCGAGCATCTCCTTGTCGTGGATCGGGTAGTTGCGTTCGGCTGCCTGCAGCTTGCGTGATTCGTACGCTATCGGCTGCAACCCGTTCCCGAAACCCTGGAGGAGTACAGCCCCGATGGCGAAATCTGAGGCGTCGGTCACGACTTCGAACGGCTTCGATGGATCGGCGATGCGCAGCACAGGAGGGGAAACGAGAAAATGTTTGAGTTCCTGGAAAGCCGCCTCTGCGTCCTCCCCCCACACAAAATTCGTGTCCTTGTGCAGCAGGTCGGTCAGTGGGCCGGTTATCCCCGCCATATTCGGGATAAACCTCCGGACGTAATTTACGAATCTGAGGAAACTCTGAAGTTCCGTGACGTTCGTCGGGGACTTCCACTCCTGTATGGTCTTGATTTTCGCCGGGTCGATTTTAATGCCGTCGCGTGAAATGACGTGCCCCAAAAACTCCAACTCTTGCTTAAAAAAATCGCACTTAGAGCCTTTGGTGATGAGTCGGTTCTCCTGCAGCCGTTGAAACACTGCGTCCAGGTCATTGAGATGCTGCTCCCGTGTTTTGCTGTAGATGAGGATATCGTCCAAGTAGACGATGACACACTGGTCGAGAAGATCCCGAAACACCCTGTTCATTGTCAGCTGAAAAGTCGAGGGCGCGTTCGTGAGGCCAAAAGGCATCATCGTGAATTCGTAACTCCCGTATCGTGTGCGAAACGCAGTCTTGTGGCAATCGTCGGCGAAGACGCGAATTTGATGGTAACCGCCGCGTAAGTCAATCTTCGAGAAGTACCGAGCGCCACGAAGTTGGTCGAGAAGGTCGTCGGTGCGTGGGATTGGGTAGCGAGACTTGATGGTGACCCTGTTCAACGCACGATAGTCGATGCACATGCGAAGTCCGCCGTCTTTCTTCGGGGTGAACAGGATTGGTGCTGCGAAGGGCGAGGTGTTGGCCCGAATGAATCCTTTCTCCAACAGTGCATCGATTTGTCGGGGCAGCTCCTCGAGTTCCGGCTGGGTCAACCGCCATTCTGTTCGAACGGTTGGTTGCGCTCCAGGTTCCAGCTGGATTTTGTGGTCCTCAGGTCTCTCCGGTGGCAGTCCAGGTGGCAGGACGTCGGGGAAGATTTCTGGGTACCTCCGAATCAGCTCCGCTAAATCCGGTGGTACAGCTGCACACAGCTTCTCGATGTCCTTTCCTTCGGTGTCGACTGCCAACTCACGTAAACAAACGGCGAACAGCTGCGCGCCCCTGTTGAAGTGGCGGGCTATCGTGATGGCTTTGACGCATGGGGCTTGGATGTAGTCAGGTGTCCATGCAGGAAGCGTAATTAGTCCCTCGTGCTTGCTGACGCTGCACGTTCCCGTTGTCCAGTCGATGACGGGGTTGTGCCGTCGCAGCCAATCGCGTCCCAGCAGTACTGTCAGAACATTATAGCTTATGCTTTTGTGTAGGCTGTAGTGGGGTATCCCATAGGGGGTACAACCCAATTAGGGTTAGTACTTGTACCCACTTCATTCATAGTTCATTCATTCTCGTTGATTATCACATGGTTTCAGAGCACTTATGCTCCTGGCCTGTGGGCCCTACTACTGCTTCCGCTGCTACTCGATCTGTCGCACGCCCCGTGGCGTGCGACCTATTTTTCATCTCGGCGCGCGGCGATTTTCTCTCTGGCGCGCGCCTCGAGGCGCGCGGCCCCGTTCCTTCTAGTCGCGGCCCCGGCGCCCTACTCTCGCGGCCCCGCCGCCCTTCTGCTGTCGCGGCCCCGCCGCCCTACTCTCGCGGCCCCGCCGCCCTACTCTCGCGGCCCCGCCGCCTGTCTGTAGCGGCCCCGCCGCCCTACTATCGCGGCCCCGCCGCCCCAATTTG